TAAATTCCGGAAGAAATCAGGCTACATTCTTTTTAGCAATTTTATGGCCCCAGTTTTACTAAATCATTCTCTTAGCACTTCAAAACTCCATCTGTCCCCTGATACAACTTTCCACTTAGCCTGGCTCAGCTGCATGCATTTCATCATCCTCAGCTCTCAAGTGCACAAACCCTCCCTGAGACCACCACATTTTTCACACTTACCTTTTCTTACATTAGCAAATACCTAAGTTCTAGTATCTCCTCACAACCACCTTTATACATAAAACTGACCACGACTCTTAAGAGCATTATTTTTACCACTCACACAGAAAGGCTCTAAAAACTATTTTAGGGAGTTGGCATTTATCCAAGTGGTTAAGATGCCTGTGTTCCATAAAGTGCCTGGATTTGATCTTTGGGAGGCAGCAGTAATGGCTCAATAGACTAGTCCTTGCTCCAATGTAAGAGACCTGAATTGAGTTCCAGCTCTGGCCCAGCCCCAGCCTTTGTGGGCATTTGGAGAGTAAACCAGATGATGGGAGCTCTTTGTCTCTAGCCTCTTTTTCTACCTCTCAAATAAATAAAAATTTCTCTTTTCTCTATTTATTTGCAAGGCGGAGCACTGGGGAGGGATGCATCCTAGTCTCCCTTGTGGATGGTAGAGGCCATCACCTGCTGTCTTCCCAGACACATTAGCATGGAGCTAGATCAGAAAAGCAGCAGCCTGGAATCAAATCGGCACTTTGACACGGGATGCCGGCATCTCAAACAGCTGTCTAACCTGCTGTGCCACAATACTCACAATTCCAATAACGTAATTTTAAAAGTAATTGTTCTGGTAACAGAAGGAAAAAAAGGGATCAAGTATTAAAACGTCCAGAGGTCATATTTGTGTTAACGTGGGGTTCCATACCCACCCACTCTTTGAGTTCCTGGGAGTAATACTGAACCTTTTTGCTTGCTGGAACCCTGTTCATGGTCTGACTACTGGAGAATGCTCAACTGTAGAGTTGTTCCAATACCCTTTCACGGGATGCTCAACAAGGGAGAAGGTCATAAAGCAGAACAAAAAATAAAGCAATATTAGTCAATTCCCTCATAACAAACTCCAAAGTCATTAGTACAAGTTCTAGACACACCCCTATTAATTCTAATTATTGGTTCTAATTATAATAGATATACTTAAGTGATAGTATCCTTGTGGGCATCTGTGAACTTCCACTGTATCAGTCAGTAAACCTGATCTGGATTAAAAGGAAAATATGCTGAATCTGGATAGGGTTCAGGGTAGAATTTCAATGTGGTCTGACCCTTGGACACTTTCTGACCTACACGTCCTGTATGAGAGTCCCACTCTCACTCTTGACCCCAGGTTCCTGGCAGTGCAGACCCTGGGAGACAATGGCAAAGGCTCAAGTGATTGGGTTCCTGCCACCCACAGGGGAGACTTGCACTGAGTTCCCCATTCTTGGCTCCAGTCCCACCCCAGTTGTGGGTACTTGGAGAAAGAGTCAGTGGATGGGAGGGAGTGCTCTGTCTCCACCTCTCAAGTAAGTAAAACATAATTTTTGAAATGTTTTAAAGTTGCCAACACCAGGGCCAGTACTGTGGCATAACGGGTTAAATACCTGGCCTGAAGCATCCCACATGGGTGCCGGTTCTAGTCTGGGCTGCTCCTCTTCCAGTCCAGCTCTCTGCTATGGCCTGGGAAAGCAGTGGAGGATGGCCCAAGCCCTTGGGCCCCTGCACCCACGTGGGAGACCTGGAAGAAGCTCCTGGCTTCAGATCGGCACAGCTCCAGCTGTTTACACTATTTAGGGAGTGAACCAGCAGAAGGAAGACCTTTCTCTCTGTCTCTCCCTCCCACCGTCTGTAACTCCACCTCTCAAATAAATAAATCTTAAAAAAATAAAGTTGCCAATGCCTATGGACATTTCTTGTTCCTTAATTTACTTCTTTGTAAACTTTGACTCTATTTCGCCTCTGAGAAACCTTGATCTCCACGATGAAACACTCTTGTTTTATTATCACGGAACCAGTGGGATTTGAAACCTAACTCATAGATAATGGCATATTTCCAGAAAGTGGTGTTTAAGACTGAGTAAGGAGAAGGAACTAGGAGCTTATCCATAAAATAAGCTCCGGACTATTAAATAGGAGTTTGCTCATATCTGATCTAAGTAAAAGACTAACGTTGTGCTGTTGGGAATCAACAGGACAGCTTAAAAGAATGCTTTTCACAAATATAGTAGCCAGAAATCCTGTGTAGGCACAATCCCATTATAACTGAACAAAAGAGTACTTTTAAAGAAAGGTAATTGTCAAATGAAAATGTACTCACCCTCCCGCGCACCCGCCAAAAAAGCAACTTTCAACTTAAGACACTACATTCCACGTGGAATATTTCTCTAAAATTCAGATGACACCTCCAAAACATTAGCACCAAATACAAGATTAAAATCCAAACCACCTAGAATATCATTATTCTCAATATCAATATTCTCAACTGCAATTCTCATCTCCAAGAGTCTGAGCAACAAACATAATCAGAGAACTCTCTAAACTACTCTTCATTCTAAATGCCACACTTTTCTCCCCTTAGCTTGTTCACCTGCACTTTTCCTGCCAGGGCTCAAAAGTGAAGTAGGTCACTAATGCTTTTCTCACTTGCACACATTTTAATTCTAAAACACTGCACATAGTATCTTTGTTTTCCTTTGAGGCAATGACCTAGCAGTCCAATTACTTTGCTTCTCCCATGGTACCTAACAGTGATTATCTAACAAAAACACCTAATGAATTTCATTAGACAATCATACAGGTAATTTTTTTATTTTTCCTTAATTATCTACCAGTCACATCAATGGCTTTTCAGCTATTACATTTCCATCCACTGGTTCACTCCACAAAAGCCCTGGCAGGGAGCCAGGGACCTAGGGAGGGCAGACACCGAGCTACCTGAGCCATCACCTCTGCCTCCCAGGGTGTGCATTAGCAGGAAACTAGAATTGGGAGCAGAGCCAGGATTTGAACCCACATGCTCCACCCAACACAGATTGTAGGTGTCCCATCTGGGGGTCTTCACTGCCGGGCCAAATGCATGCCTTTGGACTCACTTTTGAGAATTGTCCTATTTGCCTTCTGTTACAGTAAATACAAAGGGTGGGGCTATTCAGTGGGAAAGCAAAGTAATAACACCTCCCTTATCAGGCATCCTTACCACTGAGGGGGTGGGTATAGGGCAGGAAGAGGGAATGCAGCTATGAAACCCCACAGCCTTCTCAGCATTGTGTTCCCACAACTAATCTTCATTGTCAGGTGCCTCTGGCAAGAATTCTTTTGGGCCTACTGCACAACACACAAGACACTGCTGGCATCCTGTTGGTCAGTTATTGCTTACCTGCCAGGTGGTAATTTTATTCTAAAATAGCTTAGATTAATAATCAGAGTATCTTTTCCATATTTAAGTCCCCTATACCATAACATCTATGCCCAGTTGACAATGTCATTACCACAGCCTAGTTATTCTTTGGTCCAATACTGAGAAGGGCACTCTGAACACCACTTTCCTCCTTTCAGTGGATTTTTGCAACTACAAATTACTTAAATGTCTGACAGTAGACCTTTAAAAAAAAGTTAATTGCACCAAGTAAATGTCAATAATACTAAAATTGGAAAAGTCCTTTTTTTTGACAAGGCAAATTAATCTTGTCATAAACTGTCAACAATGAAAATGTTCAGTCGTTAATTATCACCAGTGTGCAGAGAATATAAAAAGCTGGTTCATTTGTAAAATCAGAGATCATAACAGAAATACAACTATGGGGCCAGAAACAGCTGGTAGCACAATTTTCTCCTGTAATTTAGCAAACAACATCTGGAAGTACTTTTACATGCAACAACTTAAAAATGTTACTCTGCGGGCAGTATACAGTTTGGGATGAAACTTTAAAAGCAGAAGACAAAATCACAAATAGTTTGTACAGGACATTGAAGGTTTCTGATCTGTCAGTGCACTTAAAGCTCAATAAATTACAAGAATTTTAAATATTTTGAGAAAGATTAACAACTGCTGATTCTCCATGAAAACCTTAAAACAGTGTATGAGTTGAACTAGCTTGGTTCATTGAATGGTTTCAGATAAGCAAAGTATAGTACAATTAGAATCTGATTAGTTTTTCCACAAATCAAGATCTGACAGCATCCTGCAGGCTTTATCATCAAAATAATAAACAGGCACCGAATTCACTTGGCTCTTTGCTATCAGGAAAAGCAAACTTAAAGCCATCACTCCAGTAAGGTCTGCACTTGAAGATTCAAGATAAGGCTCTTCACTGTCCCTCCCCCAGTGAGGTGGCTTCCTCCAGATGAGATCAGATGAAGCAAGGTTATTCTCAAGGCCAACCCAAACCCAATCAAGTCTCACTTATTAGATCACTTCTGAATTATGGTCAAACTCCGATCAAAAGAAGAGATGCAGTTCCTTCCAAAAATTTTCTCCTTGTATGTACCTTTTTCTTAGAACAGAATTGTCTAAATATCTTCAATTGAACACCAAAATAAAAAGGGAAATTTGCAATTATATTATATAGACCAATTTTTAAAAGGAAAAACACTAAAATTTACCACCTATTTCCCTCAGTGAAAATGAAATTGGGAAAAAAAAAAAAGCCAGCATCTTCTTTTCCATGGACTTAAGGGTATTTATCTTACCAAGTAATTTCATTAGTTACTCAAACTACATTTTTCTCTATAAAACACTAGATTTTCCTATTAGGAGTAGTGGCCACTCACGAATGAAACTGTGTTATTAGATTCCAAACTTTAAGTATCTAGAAATCATATTTCGACTCTCAGATCCTTTCCTCTCGTACTAAAATGCAGCAGTAACTATAAAAAAAAAGTACATGAGTTATCACAGGCCAAAAAGAAAACCAAAAAAGCAACCCTTCATACAATTTATTTGATCTTCCAAAATTACACCAGAAATAAACAACAAAAACAAAACCACTCACAACACACTGTAAAAATAATTTATTTGTTTGCCTCTTACAGATTTAGTCATCAATCCAACATTCTCATTCAAGAAATTGCAAAGGTCAAACAGAAATTTTAAATTGCTTTAGGTCTACATTAAAAAAAAAAAAAGCACTCTTTTAAAAGAGGGCGCATACCAAAAAAAAATCAGATCTAGGACATCAAGGTATAAACTTTGCCATTACGGGGGTCTACTCCTTCTGTCCCCAAAGCCAGTTCTGCACACCAGGAGGGCTCATCGCACTCGCACCTACAACTAAAGAATGAAGTCAAACAGGTACGGGAGACTAAATCGCGCATCAACTGCTGAAAGAGCACGGTCGAGAGGGAAAGTTATCCGTGTCAGCATCTTCGACAATTCCGCTGCTTCCTCCGAGAGCGAATCCCCACGCGCAGCCCCCACCCCGAGCCCTTCCTCCCGAGGCCGCGAGGCTAACGGTCTCCGCGGGCCGTCCCGGCGCCCCCGCGCCCCGCAAAACAAAGGGAATTCCCAGCCATTGTCCTCCTCCTCGGCGGCGCTGAGCATCACCAGCACTAGCAAGGCAGTAGCTTGCGCAGTTATCTCCACAGCGGGCAATGTCACAACCCGACCAACAGCACAAACTACTACCTCAGCCAGGGCCATGGTGTCGGGAGCCGCCGGACCACGCGGAAGGCGGCCGGGCGGCGCGGGCGCTCCTCGATGCTTCCTCCGCCGCCGCCGCCGGCCCGCCGCCCCGTCTCTTCCTCGCCCTTCCCCGCCGCGCCGCGCCCGCAGACCCCGCCCAGCCCCACGCCGCCCGCCCGCGAGCGCCCGCGAGCTCCGGGGCTCGGACGCCGCGCCGGCGCCCGCGGGGCCGGGAGCCCCGATCTCCACGAAACCGACCACTCTAGAAAGGAAAAGGGCCAGAAAGGTCCAGCGGGGACCGCCGCTGCCCCGGGGACGCCTCGTCAGATCGAAAGCAGGAAATGGGATGGGCGGCAAAAGCGCGGGGAGACGCCGGCTGGATGCAGCCCATTCCCGAAAGGCAGGGGCAGCGCTCCCGCCGCGTCTCGGAGCTGCGGCGCCCGCGCCCTCTCCCGGCCCCGAGTCCGCGCTGGAGCCCGAGCGGGGCCGCGCCCCCCGCCCGCCGCCGCCACCGCACCCGCCGCCCTGCCCGCTTTCCGAGCCCAAGAATGCCAGGGCGCATCCCGCGGAGGCGGCCCCGGGCTCCGCCACGAGCAAACCACCACAGAGCCCGGAAGTCTCCCGGCAACTCGGTCCCCATACCCTTCGGGGAAATCCCGTACAGCGCTGCAGGAGGCGAAAAAAGAAACAAAAACCCCGTAAAACTGAAACCCGGCCGGGCGTCGGCTCGGCGCGCGCAGACACATGAGCCGTCTCGCGCTCCGCTGCTCCAGTGCGTCCGGACGAACCATAGAGATCACTTAAGGAGGCTCGCGCGCTGCTCCCCACCACGTGACTGGCCCCCTCCCCGGCCGCCCCCCGCGCCGCCATCTTACATCCGGGACCCTGGCAGCGTCTCCGTTTTCCGCCCGGGCGAGCTCCGACGTGCCGCTAGGACTCAGCTCCCAGAGGGGGACCCCGGCTCCACGTCAGCAGAGAGAGGAGAGGTTGCGGGCCATGCCCCAACCCGCTCCACCGCCCACGGTGGCGCCCCCAGCTTCCCCCGCTCTCTGCTGGCAAAGAAGATGGCGGCGCTCAGGGCCGCCGAAGCGGACACGTTGTACTCTGGCCGGGGCCCGAAGTTTCCGGCACTTCCTTTTCCAGCCGGCGCAGGGCCGTGGGCGCCCCACCCCCGCGGCGTGGCCCCCGTGCTGCGTTCCGCACGAAACGGGCGGGAAAGCTGCCGCGCGGCCCGCTTCAGTGCGATGCCTCCGACCAGCCCAGGGGTTTGGCCCCCCCCCCCCCCCCGTTATAAAAAAAAAAAAAAAGGGCCAAGTTTGGGAGCGGGCCAACTGCCATGGAGCCTCATCCGCTCTTGGCCCAAGCAACTATTTTTTTTTTTTTTTTTTTTTTTACCTCTCAGAGATTTTCTTTTTCTCTGTAGGAAGTTAAAGTTACCAGAGTTTGTCAGGTAAATACAGGATATTCGGTTAAACTGGAATTTCAGATAAAGGAACACTTTTTGTTTCTATCCCATTTTTAAAAAAATGTTTATTTGAAATTCAAATACAACTAGACATCTTTTTTTAAAAAAGATTTATTTATGTGAAAGAGAAGGAGAGGCAGAGAGCTTCCGTTCACTCGTTCACCTCCCACATGGCCACAAAGGCCAGAGCTGGGCCAGGCTGAAGCCGGGAGCTTCATCCGCGTCTCCCATGAGGGTGGCAGAGGCAGCTGGATGGGAACCGGCACCCAAATGGGTTGCCGGGTTTGCAGGCCACAGCTTTTTCCTGCAATACCATAATACCTCAGGGCATCCTCTAATTTTTATTTCCTAAGTCTGGCAATCCTATTCGTCATCAAGCTCCTGAAAACGCCAAACTACTTATCATAAAGGGATGGGGGTCAGGGAAGATGAAAAACGTGTAACTTGGGACTGACTGCCTAGACATGGATCCTTTCATGGATGCCAGAGGACTGAGGTCCAGAGCAAAACTGGGCAACAGCGCATAAGGAACATCTAAGTAGAATTCCCTTTGAGGAGAAGCAAGATATTTTTTCTTAAACTAGCATAATATAATTTTGGGTGACAAATCCTGAGGCCAGGAATCTCATTGCACATTAAAAAATAATACTTTTTCTGTTCCCTATGGTTTAGGACAGCTAATGGGAGCCAAGCAATATCTAAGTGCAAGTTTCCAAATCAGAAAGCAACCTTTTTTTTTTTTTTTTAACATGTTTCACAGTAACGTTTGCTACATAGATATTCAGAAAATTGGCTATGTTCACTGACATCAATGTTAGGTCAGTTTACTTGGCTTGGGATACCCAATCAACTATTTCAAGAATAAACAACTATATTTGACAAAGCATAAACCTGACTGTCCATCACAGTGAGGCTTACTAGAAAGTCTGTAGGAACTAAACATCATCCTTACCTGGTAAGTAATGACTGCTCTGCATGGCATCACCCCCTGCACCATTGCAAATGTCATCTGTCATAGTGGCACAGATCTTTAAACGGCCATTGAACAGTTTGGTCTGCTTACACAGACTTGTTAGAGCAGCAGTTTCCAACTAAATTTAGTCAAGCCATTACACTAATCACATCACTTAGATTCCTTTCCACAATTTACCCATTTTTGACAGGGTTGCCATCGATGTAATCATCTGGACACAGTGGACTGTTAACATCAACTCTTCCACTGCCCATGATATCCAGGATAAAGAATATCATCTCACAACACGAAAATGCCAAGTTCCTACCTTAACTTTCCTTGTATATATTTCTTATGTAGAATATATATATTCTATATATTGTGCTTATAACTGCAAATTTATCTTAGTTTCATTATTTATTCTTAAAACTCATCACTGCAAACCCTTGCCACCTGTAACATATTCTGCTTGATTTTCAAATCATTTCACAGCGGACCTCAACTCCTAATAGTGAACCTTGTCTCACTCAACATACCAAAATGTGCTACTCTCCATCAGTTGCCTCAGATTGCATAGATGTGTTTTACTCATGCTGTCTTTGCCTGAAATTCCCTCCAGTATCCTTTGGACCCAGCCAAAATCCACCTCACTGTCAAGGCCCATATTGTTTTATTTCCACTACTGAACTGCATTTTTTTATTGACTAATAAATACAAACAGCAACATTAACCTGAGCCACAGAAGCCTAGACAAAGGTTTCCTGTTTTATAACCCTGTATTAATCTGTACTTTGCATACTTGCAAAAGGCCTGTATTCCCTGGGATACTGTAAACTCCATCGGGACAGAGACTAATCCAATGTCTAACATAAAATGGAGCTAATATTGTCACATCAGCACTTAATCGCTTGTATTTAGTATTATTAAGTTTGTGGTTTCCTTGACTATTTAAGAGTCCCTAATCATTTCTGTTATGCATAGCAAAGACACAGAGATTAATTTGGTAGTTGTTGAGTAAAAGGCAAAAAATTGGTCCCTATTGTGGGGACCATTTCTAGTAAAAAATTTTCTGTTTGTTGAATGATATGTGCCAAGTGTATCTTATTTCTACTACTACCCAGCACTTAACATGTGCTCTATGACACAATTTTTTAAAACTAGTAGGTCAATGCACTTAACCATTAATTGCATTTCACAGAGGAAAAAAAAACAAAATGGGTTAACTTGCCAAAAGTCACCTATTGTAAATAGCATAACTGGGAATGAATTTAAGGAGTCTGGATTCAGACTTTGGCCACTGTAAGAACTGTTTTTGTAAAATATAAAACTAGCAAACTGTAGTGGAAATAACAGCTTTTGAAAGCAAAGGCAGTTCATTCACCTAGACTTTAAAGTAAGTCACTTCAGTATCTAAAACCTGACTTCTCTTCTGTAGAAGCATCTTCCTACTAAATTCCTTGTAAGACTGTTGTGAGAATTAAAAGGAACACTATAGGTCAAGTTCTGGCCTACAAATACTGCATACTTCAGGAATGGTGATTAAAATTAGGAATTAGAAACAGTATTGTAAGTACATCTACTGTGTACCTACTAAATAATGTGCGAATTTTTCTGTACCATACTTTTATTGCACAACTGAGAAAAGGAATTTTAAAAACACATTATTTTTCTTTGGAGGTGGAGAAGTCTCAAAATAGGCAGTCTCAAAATAGCCTCACTAAATCTAAAAAATTATGCTCAAAAAGATTGAGTCTAATGTACATGAAGATTGGTTTTTAGTCAACTAGAATTTTTAAGTTCAAAATCTACTCTTTCCAAACTATGGAGAGGTATTTCATGTCTTTAGTACTATATATTTTTATTTTATATATTAATAGTTTTTTTTTAAGGTTTGAAAGGCAGAGCAACAGATAGGGACCTTCCATCCTCTGGCTCACTCCCCAAATGGTCACAATGACCAGGGCTGGGTCAGGCTGAAACAGAAGCCCAGAACTCCATGTGGGTCTCCCACATGGGTGCAGGGACCCAAGTACTTAGCCCATCTTTTGCTTGCCCGGGTGCATTAGCAGGGAGCCAAATCAGAAGCACAGCAATCAGTGCTGAGGACTGGCACTCTGAAATGGGACACCAGCCTAAGCAGCAGCAGCAGCTTACCTCACTGTGCCACTACAATGGCCTCCTTTATATTATAGTTTAACAAAGTACTGAAAAACCTTTCCCTTTACTATATATTTTTTCCAAACTCACTGTGCATGTAAGCCTTCCTAAATTATTTTAAATTCTATATTTTGAAGTCTTTAAACAGCACCAATGAAATGGGGTGTCTAAGCCAGCGCCGCGGCTCACTAGGCTAATCCTCTGCCTAGTGGTGCCGGCACACCGGGTTCTAGTCCCGGTCGGGACGCCGGATTCTTTCCCAGTTGCCCCTCTTCCAGGCCAGCTCTCTGCTGTGGCCCGGGAGTGCAGTGGAGGATGGCCCGAGTACTTGGGCCCTGCACCCCATGGGAGACCAGGAGAAGTACCTGGCTCCTGCCATCGGATCAGCGCGGTGCGCTGGCCGCAGCGCGCAGGCTGCGGCGGCCATTGGAGGGTGAACCAACGGCAAAAGGAAGACCTTTCTCTCTCTCACTGTCCACTCTGCCTGTCAAAAAAAAAAAAAGAAAAAAAGAAATGAGGTGTCTAAAATTATTTTGAACCCAATTGGGATAAGAAAGCAAGCACAAAGTATATTATAGAAAAAAGTGAATCATTGATCAGATCTGAAGGTAAATTATCAAAGTGTCTATGACTTTAGGTTATAATGAGAAAACTTGTGCTACTGGGACATAATTAAAAACCTAGAGTAGGCATATGGCAGAGCGGTTAAAATGCCATTTGGTGTGTCTACATCCTATACTGGAGTGCCTGGGTTTGAGTATTGGCTCCAGTTTCCTGCTAATGCACACCCTGGGAGGCAGCAAGTGATGGCTGCCACCCCCATGGGAAATTCAAATTGAATTCCCAGCTCTTGGCTTTAACCTGCCCAAGCAGGCTGTTGGGAACATTAGGAAGTGAACCAGCAGATGGAAGATATCTCTGTCTTTCAAAAGACAAACAAAAACAAAACCTAGAATCACACTTAGTGGTAATTGTAAAACAAATTAATCACAGTTATAACTATGCAGCTTTTGGGAAAAAGTATCCTAGACTAAAAGAAAATTTGGATTTGAGACTAAGAGACTTTTATGATTATAATACATGACTGATATGTCTCAACAACATAAAAATTGTAAGGAGAAAGTTTAACAACAGTGTTATTACTTTCAAGGACCGTGTTGGAAGCTAAAAAAGAATCTTACAAAATTAGATAAATATATCCAGTCTGACACAAACACCATATGGTAACTGTCTTAAGAGACAAGAGTTGTTAAGTTACATGTAAAAGTATGACACAGAGGTAGTAAAAGTTGGAAAGCAAATGAAATTTGCACAGTAGATTCAAAGATTAATATTTTATTTTCTTTTTCTAGATAAAAAGAATAGATTACAATATTATAGCTTTGGCATTTTCTCTCTTCTAGTAAAATGTTTTTTTGCAATGGTTTTCTAGATAATGGCATGGTATAGCAGAACTTCCCTGACTGTTCTGTTGACTGAGTTTTATTTTAAAATAAAACATACTTGGAGCAACTGACAACGGTCTCAAAATTTGATAATTTTATTTTCCTTACTGGAGGAGTTAACATCAATCCCACAGTAGTGTTAGGAATGTTTAAGCTGACCTCTGTGTCACAGTAAGCACCAAGCACAGGGATACTAAATACACTCTAGCAAGACTAGAG